CTTTTTTCACTGGGGCAGGAGTTTCCGGAAGACCATGGAGGCTTAAACGGGTTACCGCTGACCTAGAGAGAAACTACCTATCTTGCAGGCATACTACCTGGCCTGTGCCATTTCGGAGGAAGTTTGGCTTTGACACCTGGGCGGTGGCACTCGTTGCCAAGGGCCTCGGAGACCTGGCCAGGGTTTGGGAATGTGGGTCCCTTTTGGTGTGCAGATGCGTTTGCGGGGAGGACTGGAGATCCATTCCCAGCTCCCAGAGCTTGAGGAAGGAGGCAAGGGCGTGGGGGTAGAGGGCAGTCCTAGAACCAGGCAGGCCGACTCGGAAAACAGGCCAGAAGCCAAGGAAGAGCCTTGGGGACCACAGTGGTGGACTGGAGCCGCCCACAGGGTAGAGGGAGAGCCTTGCTGCAGGACTCCTGCCGACAGTGGGCACTTGGCCTGCAGCTAGGAGCTGGGGCGGGGCCCCAAGGGAGAGGCTGGGTGACCTCGCTGAGTGAATTGAGGACGATTGTGGGGCCCGGGAGGGTCCCAAATGCGGAGGAGTTGCCCCACAGAGCTGTGGGGGTGGGAACAGGACCAGGAGATCACCGAGGGATTAGAAATGAAAACAGAAGATTGTTTCAGTGTGGTAAGTTAGTAGCTCATATTTTGTAACTAAGGCTTTGGAGTGCAAAGCGCAGTCACTCCCCCACAGGTTCAGTCCTCCTTAAGGAAAGCACGCGGGGCAGTTACGGGAGGGAGAAGAGGCTTCCTTTGACCCGCTAAGGCACTGCACCTCCCCGGGCAGCTCTACCCTCATGGCCTCTTTCCAGGGAGGCGGACACCCCATCCCCAGCGTACTTGGATTAAATCCGGATTTTTAGTGCACACACACACCCTGGCTCAAGACAATCTGCAGTCCTCAGGAGGCGCCCCACAGTCACACTGCAGTGACTTACATCCCCTTCCCGGAGAACCAAGGCAACCAACTCTGCGAGGTGTCGAGTCTCCGACCCAGGGCCAGCTACTGGCTGGCCCCTGCTTGGGCCTTGGGCTTGGCCGGTAGGCTGAGGGCCTTAATCCTGGGCTAGGCTGCAGGGACCTCGGGTCTGCACCAGGCCGACCAGCACACCGAAGGCTGATGGGGCTGGGCGAGGCAGGCCACGGCGCCCTTGGAGTCGGAGCTGCAGGCTGGACCCCGTCTGCCTGGAGGCCCACGTGTCCCAGAGTCCGGACTCTGGCTGCCCCTGACTCCAGCCACCCCGCAGGGGTTCTCCCCAACGACGCCCTGTTTTCCTGTGTTCTGGACCCCCACTGGTCCTCGGAGCGCTCTGCTGGGGGCGCGGCACTCAAGGTCTAGGACCCACCCAGATGTGCTCATCCGCTCCCCGACCCTGCTTGGAGGCAGACAGTTCTTCAGTGGAGCGTCTGTGGGGCAGGAGTCACGGTTGGAGGACTCACTCAGGAGTCCCCCTTAGACATCCGGTTTAGGGCTAAGATGGGAGCAGCCGGGCATGGTAGGGATGCCTTGAGGGCTGGGTGGACCAGTTGTCCTAATTGGGAAACTGTCCAAGGGGCCAGGTGGAGTGAAGGGGCAGAGGTCGAGGCTGCTGGGAGTTGTCAGACGTTTCTGGACAAGTACACACCCTAGTCTGGTTTGTCTGGGGAGTGCCTGTTCAGCCCGACAGCCTGCACACGTGCCCTGGCCGAGCTCTGCCCCATCTGCCAACCTCAACTCCCACGGTGTACACACCTGTCACCTCTGGGCTGGGCACTAACACCCTAGTCATCATGGCAGACTCCGGAATCAGCCTCAGAAGAGATTGCCCAGCCCCTCAGAACCGGCTCTTGGCAAGGGGAGGTAGGAAGGGATCTCCCCTTCCAGAAGCCTGCCCCAGCCTACAGCAGATAAAGATGAAATGCTGTAACAAGTCCCCCCACCATCCCATATCAATTAGCTAGTGACTGTAAGCCCCTCCCTGCCCCTCCCGGATTTCTCAAAGCCTTCTTTGTGCTGGGCATTGAAAGCAATTAGTGCTACTTATCTGTGGGACTTGCTGTCCCCCATTCCCCCTCCTAGCTTATAAATACAGCACTTACTGTATTTGGTCAGCCTGAGCCCATCCTGTGTTTGGCCAGCCTCTTACCATCCTTCCAGGACCCCCACTCTCACTACCACCTTCATGCCTCCCCGCCCTACCTGGTGGCAGAAAACCACCCTCCAGCTTTGGCTCTGGGGACTGGCTCTCTCAAGGCAGCTGCTCAGGGCCTACCCTTACCTCCAGGCCTGCCTCCTGGGGAAGGTTCCCTGGCCTACACTGGGCATCCAGCATCAAGGAGCTTCCTCATCCCTTGGCACCCTGGAGCAGAAATCCTCAGACCTTTCTGTAAAAAAGCCACCCCTTACGGGTTGGTCACCGTGGGGGTGGGGTGTCTGCCTTCCCAGATAGGGCTGAGCTTTGGGGAGGCAGGCCCTCCTGTACTAGGGGAAGCCTGAGATTGAGGCCTTGCCTGCCCCCTCTCGGAAGTAATTGTTTCACCTCAGAAGCAGAAGCTACGGTGGAGATTTTCCTTCCTCTACCCTTCCGTGGGTCCCTCCTCCCTGCCCTCTTGCTTTATCCCCACCCAGGTTGGATAAGGTAGGGCTGGCTCAGGACTTCACCGTTAAACCTGAGGTTGAGGTGAACATCCATTCCCAGTTCCCCCACACACACCGAGTTTTCATTTCTTGTGGTGCTGCAGAATCAAACCCAGACGCTAAGCAGGTGCTTTATTGATGATCTACAGCCCCAGGCTTTGTCTTGTGGCTGTGACCTAAATGTTGCTATTAGGTTTAAACTATAAAAGTTTTGACTGTAAACTCATTTAAGAAAAAATTTGAAGCGGATTATGGGGGTTATGGTGATGTGTGCCTCTAATCTGAGCACTACAGAGGCTGAGAGGAGGATCACAGTGAGCTCCAGGCCAGCCTGGAGTACACAGTGAGACTTTGTCTCAAACAAAGGGAAGAAAAAGAAAAACTTGGAAAGGCTTAGGCTGGGGCTCAGTAGTAGCGTCACTTGCCTAAGCATTCAGGAATCACTGGATTTAATCTGTAGCACTTCAAAAATAATAAGTTGAGACAAATTTGAAATAAAAGCTTGAATAATCCTACTAAAATCTAGAATCTAAAAAAAGCAAGAATAATTTATACTTAAATGAGGTGAAATTTTGAATGCATTCTCTCCAACCAACAACATTTCAGCTCCACAATCGGTCAAATCATCCCTGAATCATAATACATCTCTTCACCCCTCATCTCTTCTAAAATAATTGGCTCTGAGGGCTGGGGATTTAGCTCAGTAGTTTCACTGCCGGCCTCACAAGCACAAGGTTCTGAGTTCAATTCCTGATACCAAAAAAATAAACAAATACATAAAATAATTGACTCTGCCAGGTATAACGGCACACACCTATAATCCCAACATTCAGGAAGCTGAGGCAGGAGGATCACCATGAGTTCAAAGCCAGCCTGAACTGCATATTGAGACCCTGTTTCACACACACACACACACACAAATACACACACACAAAAGGGGGCCCTTCTTATCAAGTGACCATTAAAACAAATTTTATAAGATTGGCTTCCTTCCAAAAGAATCTATTGTGGTTTCCATCAGACTTGGTTAAATGTAGGCCACGCAGATGGTCTCCGCCACACTGGCTCCCTCCCTAGGACTGACTCCCACAGACTGAGCAAGCCAACCATGCCAAGTACCCTCCCAGCTCTTCCCTTAGAAATTAGAAAACAGCTGGCTCTCTAGCCACTACCATCCAGAGGCCACCTCTGGTGAATTCTGGAGACTCCCAGGTCACTGGCTACAGAAAGGCCAGTGCCTCAGCCCCACACCTCAGACCCCTCAGTCTTTCCTGATCTTGTCTATTTTTTGTTAGGGTTTAGCCCAAGTTACTATTTTGATTCTGTGTAATAACAATTTAGAATATATATACATATGTGTGTATATTTATTTACTCTTTTCCTTCTATAGGGGTTTGCCTGAAATTTTTCCCTGTTTTAAGTTTTTAGTTTCTTTTTGGTACTTGGGATTGAACTTGGGTCCTTATGCTTGCAAGGCAGGCCACCAAACCGCTGAGCTAAATCCCCAGTCTAGTTTCTGTTTTTGTTTGGTTGCAACTATAAGTCTTAGTTCCTCTTTTTGTCTAGTTACGCATGGTCCTTCTAAGTGGCTACTGAGAAACTAGAGGTGTTTTCCATCCTAGGATTGCCAAAGCCAAACTCTACAGATTGGTGGCTTAAACCACAAAAAATTATTTCACACAGTTCTGAAGGCTGAACATCCAAACCAAGGTTTCACCTGAGACCTCTCCTTGGCTTGGGAAGGGCACCTTTCCTTATATCCTCCTGTGACCTTCCTGTCTCCAGGCATTCCGGGTGTCACTCTCTTACACGGAAACTGGTCAGACTAAGTGATGGCCCCATACTTAGGATCTCCTCTGACCATATTTATCTCTTTGAAGGCCTTGCCTTTAAATGCAGCCATATTAGCAGTTCGGTCTTCAAGATAGGAATTTGGGGAGACCTGATTCAGTATGAATCCAGGGAAGGGACCTCTGGCCGTACCCTGAAGGCTACCATCTCAAAGCAGGACTTGGCATCTGAGGTTAGGGTTCCTCATGACTGTGAGGGGGGTGGTTAACCAGGAATTGAACTCAGGACCTTGTGTTTGTGAGGCAGGCGGTGGCACCACTGAGCTAAATTCCCAGCCCTGTTTATTTATTTATTTTCCTCATACCATTTTAAATGCAATCTGTCTAATGCCTACGTGCACAGGCACAGACTCTCATGGAAATGTCTTGCAACGGTGCACAGGTAGAGTCTACAGTATATGAGGGAGATATTAGGAAACTTCAGACATGGTGAGGGTTAGGAAAGTGATTTATACGTTTCAAAATTAACATAAAAACAAATAAGTATGGTATGGCGGCTCACACCAGTAATCCCAGCACTCTGGAAGTTTAAGGCAGGAGGATTGCAGGTTGAAGCCCAGCAAGGGCAATTCAGAGAGGCCTTGTGCTGGACCACACAAAGTTGATGGGCGTGTAGCGGAACTGAAGAGAGCCGTTTCTAGAGAGAGTAATGTAAAGCCTGGCGCCCATCTAACCGTGAAGAAAATCTTTGTTGGCAATATTAAGGAAGATACACGAGATTATAATTGGAGAGACTACTTGGAAAAGTATGGCAAGATTGAAACCATAGAAGTTATGGAAGACAGGCAGAGAAGGGAAAAGAGAGGATTTGCTTTTGTAACTTTTGATGATCACGACACAGTTGATACAAACTGTTGTTCAGAAATACCACACTATTAATGGGCATAATTGTGAAGTGAAAAAGGCCCTTTCCAAACAAGAGATGCCGTCTGCTGAATCACAAAGAGGTCATGGAGGGGGATCCGGCAACTTCATGGGTCGTAGAGGAAACTTTGGAAGTGGTGGAGGGAATTTTGACAGTGGTGGAAACTTCAGTGGAAGAGGAGGCTATGGTGGTGGAGGAGGTGAGGGCGGATATAATGGATTTGGAGGTGATGGTGGAAACCATGGCGGTGGTCCTGGTTGCAGTAGTAGAGGCGGCTATGGTGGTGGTGGACCAGGATATGGAAGCAAAGTGGTGGATATGGTGGTGGAGGAGGATATGATGGTTACAGGGAAGGAGGAAATTTTGGTGGTGATGGAAAAATGACTTTGGAAATTATAGTGGTCAACAGCAATCAAATTACGACCCCTGAAGGGGGTCAGTTTCGGTGGAAGAAGCTCTGGTAGTCCGTATGGTGGTGGTTATGGATCTGGTGGTGGTGGATATGGTACAGTGGATATATGGTGGTGGAAGTGGTAGATATGGTAGCAGAAGGCTTAAAAAAAACAACAAAAAAGGGCTACAAGCTGGGCGTGGTGGCATACGCGGACTTACCGATCAAAACTGAAGGTCCTGCCAAGGGCTCCTCCAATCACTTTCTTTTTTATTATTAAGTTTATTGGTACTTTTCAGGTCTACAGTACAGTTACATTTATCACTGGGATCTTGTACCTTTACATGATGTAAATTGGTTCTTACTTTTCCCCATTCACCTGCCCTCCTTTTACCCCCGCCACCCTTCCTTATTTACAAAGACTTTGTTTCCATTTTTTTCTTTTCTCATATTTTTTCTTTTCCCTTCTTTCCTTTCTCCTACCCTTCCTATTTCCCCTACTCCTTTAGCCCCTTTCTTCCTATTTCACATTGTCAGTTACACAATTTAAACCTTATTTACACTTTTAGTTTTTCACACCAGAGAAACTACTCGGTATTTACACACGTGTGTCCTATTTATTTCACTTAAGAGTATGGCCTTGACCGGACATGGTGGCGCACATCTGTAATCCCAGCACTCAGGAGGCTGAGGCAGGAGGATCGCTGTGAGTTCAAGACCAGCCTGGGCTACAAAGTGAGTTCCAGGTCAGTCTCAACTACATAGTGAGACCCTGTCTCAAAAAAAAAAAGAAAAGTATGGCCTCAAAGGAAATAAGGGACAAGAAAAAAATAGGAGAAAAGGAAAAAATGGAAATAAAGTATTTATAAATAGGGGAGGTTGGAGGGGGTGAAGGGAGGGCAGGGGAATGGGGAAAAAATGAGAACCAAGACCAATCATATAAAGGTACAAGATCCTGATGATGAATGTAACTGTACTGTATACTTAGAAAGTACCAATAAACTCAAAAGGATAAATAAATCAATCCCTTTGTCACCAGAGCCACGTGTCTCTGAAACCCATCCCACCCTTAAACTGGGAGGTCAAGACAGCTGTAGTCTTGCCTGACTCTCCAAGACCATGTGGAAAGCTACTATGTTCCCTCTTGCATAGTGTAGAGTGCAGGGTGTTCTTTTCTACTGTTACTCAGCTCTGCAGATCCTGTTTCTTTTCCTATGTTTAATAAAATCTTGCTACTGTAAACAAGCAAACAACAAAAATCCATGTGGGATACCTGAATAGGGACCGGCTGCTGATCACGTAGTTAATTGGGCCAGAAGTCCATTACTCTTCCTCCTGGAACCCCCACCACGTCTGCTGTGTTTAGCCAGAGCTTTGTGGCACTATCCCAGCAGGGAGTATCCAGGCAGTCTTTTTAGTCACGTGGATCCAGTGTCCTTCCTCCCCAGGGCTGACCCAGGAGCCAGACCCCATACGGGATCCATGTTCACATGGCCTTCATCTTGAGCAGGTCAGCTTCTTGGAGGGTTCCTTCCAACATCGCTAGTACCTAAGCTCCCTGGAGTGGAGGAAACTGGCCCTGGACATTCAGCTGAGGTGCAGATGAGGTAGGCAGCTGGGCAGCCAGAGGGTGGGGGACTTGCTTTGCCCCTGCCTTGAATTTGTTTTTATTTTTCACAGATAAAAATGTGGTTCTGGAGTGACCGAATGAAACATAAACACCACATTCAAGACTCAGCTCTTTGGCCCTCTCCATATACCCTGACCTCACTATTTCCCGCCCTGGGCTATTGCCTGCAGCAGCTGTACCCTTGGACACCACTACTCAGGCTGCCCCCTGTCTCCTTCTCTGGCCTCTGCTAAATGGAACAAGCCCCACCCCCACCCCCAGCCTCTGCATGGGCTTCCTGCCAAGGACAGCTCCTGACATACCACCTCCCTCACCCTGGGAGCTATGCACACAGGAACCAACCTTGTCCTTGGGACCTGGGACGTGTATGCTCTGCTGGAGTCCGAGGACACCTTTTGAGGATGCAGTCTGGCTTTGTGCCCTCCACAGATGCTGTGTGCAGATCATGCCTGGCACTTACCTGGGGGACATTCAGTATTTACATTCATGACATGGTGGCCCCATTTTGTGGCTGGTGTTTTATGCTATCTTAAGCCATGGGTGCGACTTCAACCCTGACCCACCCAAAATTCTGAAAAGTTTAGAGGTGAAGCAATTTTGAAGCTTTACTTCACTGCAAGTTACTGAAAGGGCAGGTTTAAGATCAGTTCGATTGATGGGTCAAAAGCCAGAAGTGGGTTGGTTATGTGTAGACCTTGAAAGGATAATTTATTCAATAAATGACGTTAGAAAAATGCTTTTCTGGCTGGAATAAAGGTTATAAGCTTTGCACGTAGAAAAGAAAAGCTGGAAAGGAAGGTACCATGTTTGTAACGTTGGGCCTGAATCCCTGTGAAAGCCAGCAGAGCAGGATAGCAGAGGAGCGAAGAGCGTGTGTGGCCACCGTAGATTCTGAGACAACAGGATTCAGGAATGGCTGGCTGTCTGCTCCAGTTCGTACAGTGATAGGGACAAGCTGGGGGAGCCAGGCTGTCTTGGCTGAGCCTCTTGTGCATGTGCCCCCAGCTCCCATCAACCTAGCTCATCCTTGCCTACAGGAGGCTAACAGGACCCCCTCTGGCAGCCTCTACTGCACTCAAGAGAATAGGTGAAGGATAGCAGGGGTCCTTAGAGTACGGAATAGCAGTGTATGAGATCAGGAAGCACCTCTGCCCTAGGAAAGGGCCTGGTGCATCCTTTCACTACTAGAAGAAATGTAGCACAAACTGATATACATATGCACCGTACCTCAAATGAACACATACTTGTCCATGTTCCACTGAGAGGGCTCTGCACTCAGAAACATGGCGTAGTGTGCACTCAGGCAGCCAAGGGTGTGAGTGCCCATAACATATACCCAGGGGTGTCCATCCCTAGGACATGGGTTTAGCCTGCAGGAGGTGAGACTGGCCTGTGTAAATAGCCATCCTGGTGAGAATGGAAGTGTGGTCCTTACTCAAAGGTGACCTGTGGGAACATAGAGCTGAAAACACTAGGCTGGGGCATCAGACTTGCACTTTCTCGGTGTTTATTTCTGTATTGGTGGAAGTGTTTATAATGAGCACACGTCTTTTATTATGTGTAAAGTAAGTATAATGGGCTGCTGTGATGCCAGCATATGACCATCTGCTGAACACAGCATATGCAGTCCAAGGTGTTTGCCCAGAGCCTGGACTTGACTGATTGCAGATTGGCATAGTGTTGCCAGGACACTGGAGTGTTGAGCATCCCACCAAGGGCAAAGACCTGCGTTACGTTCCATATCACCTTTGGCCCTGAACCTCTTCTTCTGTGAGAGAGGACTCTGGGTTAGGGCATCTGAAATTCCAACCTGCTCAGGCCAGCGGCACCAGGCTCTATCCACCCTGTAGATGAGGAATTTGGGAGGCAGAGTTGTGGGACTCTGAGGGGAGAGCTTGGCAGGTACCCAGCCTCACCCTGTCACCTCCCAACCCAGTGGTTTAGTGAGCCGTCTCTGGCCCTGTGGGTCTGTGTCTGGACAGGACCCTGGGGATCTCCAGGAAGGAACTCTGTCACTATCACTGACCCTTGTGAAGCCCATCTGCTGGGGCCCCTCCAGCCAGGCAGCCAGGTGGTTAGGTCTTTCTCACACCACAGTGACCCCTGCTGGCTTTGGCCCAGTTGCAGCCTGTTTTCCCACGTTACTTACTGTTCTTCCCATATCCCCTGCTGCTCTTCTAGCGGACCAGTGTTGTCATGGGTACCCTTGGCACCCCCAGACCTGAAGTGTCCCCGTGAGCAAGAAGGATCCTGCCACCTTCTTCCTCAATCCTGTCTCTGTGGCTGGCTCAGTGCCCTCATGACCTTGTCCTGGTTAGGGAGGAGGGATTACCTTCCCACAGGACTAGCCTTTAGGGACAAAAGTGAGGGACACTGTAGGGGCACAGGGAGCAGTGAAGGGACCTACAGACAGCAGGGGAACCCTGCAGCACCCAAGACAAGAGAGACATCAGGGAGAGTGTTGGAGCAGGGTTCAGAATGACCTGGGCCTAGGCCTTGTCAGCAAGGGGCAGCAAGGTCCTGGGAGGGGCCTGAACATCAGGGCTGGAGGCTCAGCTCTGCCTGGGAGTTACTGAATAGAATGTAACTCTAAACTTGTCTGGGTCAAGATTAGACATGTTAAAGCCGGGTGTGGTGGTGCACGCCTGTAATCCCAGCACTTGGGAGGCTGAGGCAGGAGGATCGCTGTGAGTTCGAGACCAGCCTGGGCTACATAGTGAGTTCCAGGTCAGTCTCAACAACAACAACAAAAAGATTGGACATGTTAAAAACTATAAGTGGGCTCTTCCTGTGTCCCTAAAAACCAGATCTGATTGGCCTGGTCCCTCCTGAAGCCTAGCATTTACAACATGTCCTGTGTCATGCTTGTGTGTGGCATGTCATGTGTGTATGAGTGTGATGCATACTGCATGTGTATGTATGTGGGGGTGTCATTCAGTGTTTGTCACTTGTGGTGTGTGTAGTGGGTGCATTGTGCTATAACGAGGAAACTACGGGGCTGGGGATTTAGCTCAGTGGTTCCGCCGCCTGCCTCACAAGCACATTGTCCTGAGTTCAGTCCTTGGAACCAAAAAAAAAAAAAAGAAAAGAAACTATGTGTGTGTGTCTTAAACATGGTGTGTTGTTTGTTCGTATCAGAGGTAAAGGGGAGTTGTATATGTGGTGTGTATTGTGTATCATGTCGTGTGTTTATAAATTGTGCATTGTATGTGATCAGTGTGCATCATTTGTTTATGTCAGTATTGTGCGCTATGGTCTGTTTTCCTTTAGGACCTGCCTCCCCACTGGCTCCTTTCTCTGAGGCCTCTGCTCATTCCTGGGTAGAGGATGCCCTTGTCTTGTTCTCACTGATGTCCGGTGGCCATCCTGACGGCTGTGGCTGTGCATTCAATAGGGGGTGGCCCTGGGCTTGTTGCACATGGCCAGGCTTCTGGACTGAGCTGCGGTCATGGTGTGAATCTGGCTTCTCCCTCCTGTGGCAGGATAGGGTATGCACAGAATCGCTAGCTCATGAGGTTTTTGCAAGACTATTTGCAAGGCTATTTGAGACCGTATCTCAAAATAAATAATAGAAAGATGAGTTAGCTCAGTGATAGGGTGCTCCTCAGTTCAATCTCCTATTACCAACAAAGCAAAACTCATGAGATTCCAAACTAAATTCCATATCATGGGGGACTTTCCAGTGGGCACTGGTGCGGCCCTCCTTGAAGGCTTACGGTCTGGGGAACACAAGTCCACCAGGTGAGCCTGCCCTAGGAGCTGCATGGAAAGTAGCTGCACATCCTGGGGCAGGTGGGCACCAGTCCATAGGCTCTCTGAGCCAGTAATGGGTGTGTTGCACCCCCGAGGCAGTGTGTCCGGGATCTCAGATCTGGAGTTGACATTCAAAGTGTTTATAAAATAAACCAATCAAGTAAACAAGAGACTGTAAATCTAAGAGCAGAATCCCTGGATGTTGGTTAGTTTCCTTTTACACCTTTTTGTCTGAAATTATCCTAAGAAGTACCTGAGAAGGGACTACTTGGATGTTGGGGTCCAGAGCAAAGGTGGGCAAACCAGCCCCTCAACCCCAGAGCCCAAGAGATCTAAGGGGTGGCTCCGCGGTGACCAGGGAAGGGCCTGCCACTTGTGGCCCCGACAGTGAAGCAGAACTGGCCCTGGTAGGGCCAGGGCACCCAGCCCACCCTTGAGGGTGTTAGAGGCCATGCCCACTCCCTACCCCAGTAGCAGCTGAAACTTTGGATAAGTCTCACAATGCCCCACTGCTGTCCCTTCCTCACCCAGGTTCCTGTGCCCTGAGGCAGGTCCCACAGCCCGCCTTCCTTCCCAGGCATGGCTGGCAAAGGTGAGATGGCCAGGGCCGGGGACGTATCTCAAGGGCGCCATGCCTGCCTCACAAGCTCAAGGACCTGAGTTCGATCGCTGACACCAAAAATAGATAAATAAATAAAATAAAATTTAGAAAGCACGGGAGCCACCCGCAGCTACCCCTCAACACCTACAGGTGGAACGACTGCGTTTATGGGTGCCCCTGGTGCAACCAAGCCCCCTGATGCTGCTTGGCTGAGACTTCCTGGGCCAGAGCAGACATACTGCATGGGTTTTGCCAGCCTCGGCTGCCCACATGAAGATTCTTCCCTTTGTCCCTGCCCAGGCAGCTGCCCACCTGGGTACAGGTGAGAGCCAGGACGCCCAGCCCCCCAAAAACCCAATTTGGTTCTGCCAGGGAAATCCAGGGGACTCTGGAGGGAGTCTCCTTCACAGTCCAGGATCTGTGCAGAGCAGCTGCTGGAGGACAGAGCTGGGCAGAAGAAGAGTAGAAAGCAAAACAGTCTCAACTCCTTGGGTCCACCCTTGCCTGTGACCCACCATTCTGACCCTCAGGGAGCCCTGCATCTGTGAAGAACAGCGCATTCACACTGAGCAGTGCTGGAGCGTCTGCTGAAGGGTGTGGTGTTGGGAAAAGGAGCCACAGCACCCTCATCTGCAGTTTCACTCTACTCTGCTTGTTACCAGTTTATCTGCTGGAGTCCAAAAATACTGTGTGTGTGCACTTTCAAGAGCGAGACAGCATTCACATAACTTTTATTCCAGTATATTGTACTTTTGCAGGGGGGTGGGTGTTTGATTTGGGTTGGGGTTTTGTTTAGGTTCGGTTTTACTTTGTGACAGGGTCCCCTCATATAGCCCTGGCTGACCTCAAACTCACATCCTCCTGCCTCAGCCTCCCAAATTCTTGGATTAGAGGTGAGTACTACCATGCCCAGCTCTGTTTGGCTTTATAATTTGTTGTTGTTGTTGTTAATCCCTTACTATGCCTGATTTATACATTAGACTTTACCAAGGATATGCATGTGTAAGAGAAAAGCTAGTATATACCAGGATTGTGGATCTGTGTTTTCAGGCATACACTGGGGGCTTTGGAGATGACTGTGCTTGCAACTAAAGTCCTTGAGGGGTCTGGGCTCACCAGAGGGGGATTGTGGGGCAGGACTGCATGTGCAAGGGGATCCGCTTGGGGGGCTTCTCACGAAGCCCCATGATTCTCCTGCCCTGGAGTCCCCTCTGCCTGTCATCTGACTTTTTTTTTTCCTCTCCTGAGGGAGGGACCAGCAGGTGACAATCAGAATTAAGAAGGGAGGGTGACAGCAGGCCAGAGCTAATTGCCCATTCACTGGGACAATTATGTGAGATAAGGCTTAGAAATTTTTCTAAGCCAAAGGCTGGGATAGGACTCAGGGGCCATTTTAAAGATGGTCTTTAAAAAAAATAGCAATTGCTGTTTCCACTTGGAATTCGTGATCCTCATCCCTGCATCCCCCTCCCACTTTCTGCATCTAAGAGTTAAGATACCGGCTACAGGTGCACCTATCCCACACCTCATACTCATGAATCTCATGTTCCCAGGCTCTCTCCTCGCCCCACTATCTGAGTGCCCAGGCTCTGAGTAGGGTCCTGGAGCCCTGGCCCTCTGGGAAGTGTGTACCAGACCTGTCCTGACCTCAGAGTCCAGCTGAGGCATTTCGGAATTTTATACCCCAAAGCTTTGTGCATGTTTAACTAAGTTCCCCAAACCACTATATGACATTTCAAGTAACAGAAATAAAAGGAAAACACAGCACACCAGAGCAGCTTTGTCTGAACATTTTATTCTGGTCAGTGTTACTACATTTAATAAGTTTAAATGAAATCAACTTTATTGATTTTTTTTTTCCTTTTTTGTGGCACTGGGGATGGACCTAGGGCCTCATTGTTTGCTAGGCAAGTACGTTGCCACTGAGCCACATACCCCGGCCCAGGTGTTAGGAAGCACTGCGGCTTGGATCCAGTGCCTACAGACACCTTCAGCTAGCACTCCTGCCTCCAGCACCAGATGGAAAGTCATCCGCCTGTGTCAAAAGTAAGGTCACACAAGGAGTTGTTTTCCACCTGTAAGGAAGACTTTAAGTGAACAAATCCTCACTCCCTCACTCCCCATCCCCCATCCCTCACTTCAAGCAGGGCCACCCTGTGCCCACATAGTACCAGAACCCAGGCCAGCAAGCACACACCCAGATGGCTGTCTCAGTCCCATTCTGCACCTTCAGCCCCGGTCAGAGCCGTCACAGCTGTCCTCTCAGCTCCTACCTGAGTTCCCAGCATCAAGATCAGCCCTGGCAGGACATCTGCAGGGCACTTGAAAACTCACTCTCTTGCCCTACAGCATCCAATCCCCTCCCCCCAAGTCCCCAGTCCCCAGTCCCCAGATCCAGTCCGGAGCAGTGAAAGCAGGATGCACTGTTGGTCAGGATGCAGGTGCCACGGGACCCATGCTGACGGGGAGGACCTCACTGCTCCATTTTCCCATGCCATGTACCTCTTTAGGCCAGATCCTCAAAGAAGTATATGCATAGGAAAAAGGAACAGCAAGCAATTCTGCCGAGGGCGGCTCCGCAGAACCTGGAGGCACATCCAGCGGGCAGCAGGCACCACCAACCTGCGGATGAGAAGTGGAACCCGGTCCAGCCTGGGCTGTCCCCAAAGGCTGGCCGAGTCGTACCTGGAGTCCAGGCCGCTGGGCTGCTGGGTCCGTGGTGGCAATGAGCTGTGCCGGTCCCTGGAGAAGTGGTGGAAGACTCCTCATCGGCTGGGAGGTGGAGTCCTGCCGCTGCAGTCCCAGCGTCTCTTTTTATACACAGTTGAGACCTTGGCCAGCTGCTGTTCCATGCGGTCAGAAGGCTGCTGGTGCCAAGAACCCCATCCTACCCCCGCACCTGCAAGGCTGGGGCACAAAGACCTGCTCTGAGCAGGCAGTGGGTGGGCAGCCGGGCCTCCAGGGCCGGAGCTGGCTGCTGTCGTGGGAGCTGGGACAGGGCCAGCCCTGGCTGGCTGCCCCTCGGCACTTTATCTCCCGATGTACTTCTGCTTGCGTCAGGGCCCGGAAAACACATCCCTAGGAGAATAGCTCCTACGGGGAAAGGGAAGGGGGGCATCTCTCCCTCCCCGGCCTACCCAGCTCAGCAACAGTAGCCTCTGGGTTAGGTTTTACCAGACACCAGGCTGTGAGACCCTTGGACCCTAAAGTCATCACTGTTCACTGTCGAGGGCACTGAACCCCAAACCCTTACCCATGAAGGCTTCCCTGCTGGAGCCTATGGTGGCCTGTGTATGGAGGATCAGGTAGACAGTGGCAGGAGTAGCTGGCCCAGAGGGCCTTCCCTGGGCCACAGCCCTGATGTGGGGTCTGCTCTCCTCCCAGAGCTCCCAGGAATGTGGAGGACAGGGCTTTGTAAGTTTGGGGGACAAGACTGCAGGGCTAGCATGGGGAGGGCACCTCAGAGATAGCTTAGCAAATGCTCAAGGCTGCCCCCACAAAGACAGACCTCACAGACAGACAATGGTCACCAGGCCAAGGGGCCCCAGGCCGGGCAACTGAGCTGCTCACTGACACAAGAAAAAAGCCCAGAATGGCCCTGCTGCTGGGAGTCTGGAGGTGTTGCCCCTGGCCAGTGATGTCTCCACAGAGCATGAAGCAGATGAAGGCCAGTGTGCCTCTCTCCCTGGGCCATCTGTGCTGGCCTCTCAGCTGGATCTGCAGATACAAGGTCTGTACAGGGCACAAACATACAAACACACAACAACACAGAGACAGAGATCACACACATATACACACACAGACAGACACACACCATTCCTTGCCCAGGCCAGGCAGTTCGGAACCCATAGGATGAAGAGATAGGTGCCTGGTCAGTGCTGCCAGAGCTGGGGGACAGCCTGATCCATAGGGCAAGTGTCCACAAGGAGGCCGTGCTCCTTTGCTCCGAGGCTAGCCAGATCTGAGTCTGCGTCTGTGACCATGCGTCCTTGTGTCTGTCTCATAGCAGCCACGGAATGGCCATCTCTCTACCTGGGGTGAGGTAGGGACTGACTGCTCCAGCCATGCAACTGAGTCTCCTGCGGGGTGGTGGACACCCATGGTAGTGGACATATACAAGGAAGCCAAGGGACAGGGAGATGGTCCAGTATCACCTAACAGCCCCTAAGAGGAAGTGTGGACCCAACAGGGTAGAATGAGAAGCTGCAGATCCTGGGCTGGCACCAAGGGCTTGGGTGGGAGGAGCTCCCAGGACTCCCGGTGATGTTAACCTGCGCCCCCACCTGTCTGCTCAGCCCTCTCCTCTGGGAGGCACCTCTCCGTGGTGCACATGGTTGACCTGTGCTTTAGGCCATGAGGATTGCCAGTGACAGTAGTGGATGGTTCAGAGGAGAGCACTGGGCTAGGAGCAAAGAGGCCTGTGGGAGCCTTTCCTGGGGAGAGATGGGAAAGCTGGTTTACAGAGGAGGGTGGGCAGCCTTAAGAGCTCGGATAGCTCCTGCTCACGCACATACGCACAACCCCAGAGGAAGGGTCCTCCACGGGCAGGGGATCTCACTCTATAAACACCTTGGACCTAAAGAAAGAGCCTTGTCAGGCACAAATCCCAAAACTCAGAAGGCCGAGGCAATAAAATTGCTGCAGGTTTGAGACAGCCTGGGCTACATAGTGACTTCAAGACCGACCTGAGCTGCATAATGAGATACTGACTCCAAAAGCTAACACGAACACAGAGAGACAGAGACAGAGACAGAGACAGAGACAGAGACGGAGGGAGGTGGGTGTCTAAAGTCAAGATTCTGGGGTCTGTGTGGGTCCGAGGGCACTACAGAGGCCTGTCCTCTTGAGCCTCCATCCAGAGCTGGCTCCCCTAACCTGCCTCCCAGGCCATGGTATCATCCTTAACCTTGGGCTGTGGCCTCGGGTTTACAAGAACAATGGAAGCAAGAGGCAGAAAGCCAGAGAAGGCAGACACTGAGACAGAGAGACTGTGATAGAGAAAAAAGAGATTGAGACAAAGAAACAGAGAGGCAGAGACAGAGAAAGACCTTGGTGGGGACAGGATAGGGCTTTTCTAAAACATTGTCATTTTCCTTGTTTTTGTTAAACTTTTTTTTTTTTTCAGGCTATGAAACTGACACCTGCTCACTATAGGCACATTAAAGTCCAGAAAGGTCTACAGACAAGATGAGGTAAGCTGTGATATGGGTGTGAGGAAGATGGAAGCTTGTCCTTCTGGCCTGGCCTCCCAGCTGGAGCCTGGGGAAGTAAGAGATAGGGTGGGAGGATGAGCCCATCTTCTGTGTTTTCCTCAAGGCTACAGGAAGCCAAGGAAGATGTGGAGACAGGCAGTGATGAGGGCTGCGCTGTTTCAGAAGCCTCCCTCTGGCTGTCTTGTGGCAAGGGTCAAAGGGGACCAGGAGCTAAGGGCGAGCAGAGGTTCCTGTCCCAGCTTGGATTTCCAGGACATGCTCTCTGAAGAGCCCTGGAACCCCTCAGGGTTTCAGTTCTTTTGGAGCCCTTGCTTTGAGGATTCTGTGAGGGGAGGGGAGGACTCAGGGCCTCTGCTCCCGAGAGCTGACAGGAGCAGCACCAGTGGATGGACTCTGGCTTCCTGACAGGCATGCCTGCACTGCTCCCCTTCTCTGAGCTCCTTTATGGCTCCCCCATAGTTTGAGTGGACCCCACACCATGCCATAACCCTGGTGGGAGCCCCCACCACACGTTAGATGGCCACACAGTCTGACCCCTGCCTCATAAGTATGTTTTCCATGTCTCTGAGACCACAGCTAGACCACAGGCCCCAGGAAGCCCCCTGCCCACTGACCAGCATGGCCCCACACTGTGCTTCTCACAGCAGCAGGGGCTCAAGGGCTGCCAGCCTGGGCTCCCCGTGCCTGAGCAGCAGCTCCCACACCACTGAGCATATAGGCAGGCTCTTCTTGCTTGGGAGACAGAAAGTATCCTTGTGGGCTCGGGAGGACATGCTTGGCACAGAATGGCAAGCGATAAGGGTGGCCTTCAGGCCAGCTCGCTCACTCCTTGTACTCTGCACCTTCCAGAGCAGGGGTGGGGGTGGGAGTTCCTGTAGCTGTTTTCAAAAAGTGGAATCAGCTCCCAAGGCATCTCCCTGTTGCCCATCTATAGTTCCCACAGGGGTGGGCCCCCTCCTCCGTGTCAACACAAAGACCTCAGTCTCTGTGCTGGCTCCAGTGTGAGGCTGACTCCTGTACTCCACCTGCCCTGCATCCCAACGTGCCATGCACCTCACCCTGCTCTGCACCCCAGCATTCTCCGCACCCCACCCTGACTGGCACCCCAACTGCCCTGTGCCCTTGACCTCTCTGGGGTCAAGATCCGGGAGTCACAGCAGTTGACCCGAATTGTTATCCTCTGGCCCCAGGGGTAGGTGGGACCAGTGGCTACTCCCCACCGTAGGCAGCTATGCTGGGAATGTCACCAATTCTAGCCTCAGTTTCTCCAGTCTTGCAGGAAACGCTGGAAACAGCACACCCCCTTCAGAGTCATAAACAATTTCCCAGTGGACGGATGGTTTCACTCCTCGATGTGTGCCCAAGAGGTGTGAAGTCATTGGTACCCACAGACTCGACTTCATCCTCCAGCTAGAGTGGTCCCAGGCCTTCGTGGAGGAGTGAGTGTAAACCACAGAGCCCTACACAGAACAGGCACACATGTGGCCTGGATACCCCAGGATGGCCCAAGCACACAGGTGACAGGAAGCCAAAGGAACCTGTGTCCCGGGAGGTGCTGATTATGGGCTGCACGCATTTGACAAACTCCTGGGATTACATGCTTGAGGCCATTCATTCCATAGGCTGCAAAAAAATTAAAACTGACCTCAATAAAAAATAAAGTAAGCTGGGGATTTAGCTCAGTGGCACCATGCCTGCCTTACAGGTGCAAGGTCCTGAGTTTGATCTCTGGTACCATAATTTTTTTTAAAAAAATAAGATAAAATAGAAATAAAAGAGGAAGCTGCACAGCAGGGTGGTAGGAAGTGCTCTCTTCAGAGGCAGCACGATGGCCGACCTTGTAAAAGCTCTAGCTTTAACACGGTACGCATGATCAAATGTGACTCTCAGAATAATGTGGATTACTTCTTGGCATGAGTATGCCCCATGAAATATTTGGGATGTGCTGACACTAAAAATTATTTATGGTTTATCTGAAATTTGAATTTAACTGGGTGTCCAGGATTTTTGCTTACTAAATCTGGCAGCTCTGCACCCATTTCATGGAGAGCACAGGACTTGCAGACAGGGAGCTAGATCTGAACCTGGGTACGGAAGGGGCACCAGGGAAGCCTTCATGGCCTGGGGGCAGCTGGATGAGCCAGCAGGACCCCAGGCTAACTCCTAGCTCCTGCGAGGGGCAGCCGAGTTCACCCTGGGTCCTGGGTGGTGCTGCCCTGAGTCAGGGCTCTGTTTCAAGGCTGAGCCCGACTCCCTCTGGTGAGCTATCTCCGCTTCTTGATATTTTCTTTCTCTTCTCCCAAGCCCACCCTGCCGTATCAGCAGCACTCCCTGAGCCATGGGAATGCGCATCCGTTCTCCAAGGCCGTGGTGTCAGCAGCCCTTGGTGACCCGCCCCTGCAAGATCTGTGGCTACTTTGTTCAGACTGCTGACTCGGCTGCTCCCCTGAGGGAGCCCTGGGCTCATCTGGCCAAGAACCTTGGCCCTCGATAGTCATCACAAGCACATACACACGCATGCTTATGTGCACACACACACACACACACACATACACATGTCTGACTGTGTCACTTCCTGTCTACCTGAGTTCGAACATCAGACTCAACACAGCTCCAGCCCTGGGACTCCAGACCCGCGTGGTCACTACCATTCATTCCTGGGAGTTGGAAGTCTGTTTGCCAGT